GTAGACTCATAAAGACGAATCTTAATTAAAAATAACCCCAAAAAATCCAAAAACAAACATAAAAAATCATTGAAAGGGATCAACAGTTTTCACAAGGCTCATCCTCCTAGAAATTCAGGATTTCAAAATTTTCTCTAGATAATCATTAGTATCCATTTTGTTTTGAATAAAGTTGACCCTGATCCAGTATCCAAATTGGGTCCCAATTGATTTAAATCCATCAATGTGTCTTATCCACTAGCCACAGTAACTTGCATCTAGCCTAGTCTGCTTCAACAAGATGGACAGGAGTTCTTGGATGATTCTCACAAGAAATTGAGGTAAACAAGCAAAACACAGAAGAGTTTATATTGTATTGTTCTAGTCAGATAAAATTTCAAAGGCAGGCAAAACTAAGCTATAGTTCACATTAGAGATCAAGATGGTATTAGAGATGAAGATGATGGAATATCTAGAAGGAGAAAGTGGGTACTAACAGGAAGTTTAAATAAGAAAAGATCTTGGGGGTACTGGAAATATTCCATTTCTGGATGGGGTGGTAATTACATGGGTGTTGCCTCTGATAATTATTAAACTTCATGCTTTTATAACTTTTTAATACATAAATTATATTAAAAACAGTGAGAAGAGAATATGTTTGCGGAATTTTTTCTGTTTTATCTAGGTTTTGATTTGAGGCAGGTCTGTTATCTATTTCTCACTTTATGGTAAGCAGAGTTCTGCACTTACAAGTCCTGTTTATCCTACAAGATCATGTTTAAATTTCAATTTTAATGAGAGTCTTTTCTTCATTTCTTTCTGAAGTTTCTCTCCCACTTCTGTGCTCTGTTCCAGATTCAAGTTCTAGCTCCTTTCTAATGAAGCAGAAACTTTGACAGAGAGCTGGGATCTCTGAGATTATCAGAATTCCAGCATATTTCAGTTAGAGAGCAGAGATGAATCAATATTTTCTCAAACCAAATATCACACAGTTTCCTTTGGGAGATAGTGTTAAATACTTCAAAATTAAGCTGAACACTTTTAATTTTATTGTTAGAAATTGAATGAATTTTTGAAAAATTATCTAATTATTACTTGTACTCTAAAATACTCATTATAAAAATGACAAAGTGCCTTAACAAATTGCATAAATAGCATAAAATTCAGGTTTTTAGGTAAAGGTTATAAAACTCTTAGGAAAATTTACAAGTAAAAATAGATCATTATTAAACATTACAATATAGACACCTGTATTTCCATGAAACTAAAATGGTATTAATCATGAATAAAGTATATGTATTCAATGTTCTTACTATGTAATGGATCATGTAAATAAACTTAAGTTCAAATTTTGTGTTTTAGGTTATTAGAGATAAAATGGGCAATTATAATTCTAATACCTGGCATCAACATGAGTAAAATTTCATTCTTATCCATTGTTCTATTTAACAACTAAATAAATTTTGAATCATAGTAATTTTAATTCGGTTTTATCATTTGTTTTAAAGTGATATAGCTTTTTTCACATCTTCAAAATAACATATAGAACCCTATTAGAGGTATGAATATAAAAATTAGTCCATCCTCTTAAGAAAGGTCTTGCAGTAGCTGCATTCAAACCTGTACTGACTCACTATGTAAACTATAGGATGTACCAGTGTTTTATCCACAGTTTCATTGAATTCAGATGTCTTCAGATAGGATCTCTAATTATTTAGGAAGAAGTGTTGTTGAAACATTTATATTCTGACCTCTCCTAAGATGAGCGCAGTTTTGTGGTGATTTATACTTCATAAGTGAATGGGCAAAAAAAAAAAAAGGAAACAAGGAGAGAGAGGGAGAAAAGTGAGTTATGTGATTATTTTCTTATTATATTGAAGCATGCAATTATCTTACTCAAAATACAAGGTGCCCAGAGTTGCGTAGGTGAAAGTGAATACACGAATCTGTGTCACTGGGGCTGCAGCGATTGGGATTCATTTTAAATGTTTGACTCTGTCTCCAGCCAGGGCTTTATAAACTCCCTATCATCTTTTATTGGGTCAGGCACTCACTCAGTAACTGGTTCTGGAAGAATGGCTCTGCTTTCTCCCATAATTTTTTTTCTTTTTTTGAGGAAGATTAGCCCTGAGCTAACATCTGTGCCCATATTCCTCCATTTTATATGTGGGATGCCTGTCACAGCATGGTTTAATAAGCAGTCTGTAGGTCTGCGCCTGGGATCTGAACCAGTGAACCCCGGCCTCCGAATAGGAGCATGTGAACTTAACCACTATGCCACCGGATGGCCCCAGCTTTCTCCTGTAATATGTTAAGAGTCTGGTAATTCTGATGCTCTCCTGCTTTTTTTGACTTTAACCTAAAGTCTGGCCAAAGCAATTCACATTTCATAGAATTGAACTAAAGGCAAAGTCTCAGGGTGTGAAATTTGAGACAAGAAAACAAAGGAAACAGGATAATAATTCATCACCGCCCAGATTACCCTGGTAGACTCAAAGGATGAAAGTGTTCCTGTGCCTATACAAATTTTAGACTTGTGCTTATTTGTCCACAGGTACGTGCATATACACACATACACACACCCCCACACACACCATCTCTATATTATCATCCTGTAGAGTGCAGGGAAAGGGGAATGTTATGGAATCAAATCATTTGTGAAAAATAGCTTATTTAACTGTTTTCTTAGGAAAAAGTCAAATCTCATCTGACTGAAAATGGAACCTCTTACATTTCAACAAATCATTTCTCATTTCTCTACCTCTAGAAAACAGTGAAATGTAACAAAACGTATTTATCTCATTGTAATAAGTATTATATAAATAAATTTTTAAACCATTTATATCGTTGTTGACTAAATTTATGGCTCTACTTGAAATATGAATATCAAAAAATATTTTTTAATGTCCTGATTTTAATGTATTTTATTAAACTTAATTTGAGCCTCTTGCTTTGAAACCATTGTTCACACAGTGATTGCTTCCAGATTTTCCCAAAAGAAAAATTATCTCGGCCCTGATCTCCATAATTCAGCACTTTCTACTTTTTCTTCTGGATGTTTTTGCTTATGTTTCTCAATAAAAGAGTCTCTCATTTGTCCTTTATTTCCTTATCAATCCAGAAAACACTTTCCCTAAATATCATGTGTCATATATGGTAAAACTCACTTTTGTGATACTGTCACACATATATCTTAATAAACTTGGATTGATATTCTTATTTTGCATCTAATTGTATATTTCAAGAACTAATAATACGATTGAGGTATGCATGATTTGATTACACAATTTCACCATGCAATGGTTAGCTGTCTTCAGACATTTACTCAATTTCCATAATGGTTCAAGATATTGATGTAGGGAAGTGCTGATGTAAGGTGGCAGAGGAGTCGCCCACTGTAGCCTCTCTTCTTACAGCATGGTTCCTTCCTTTCAGTAGCACTCAGTGCTGATACTCTGACTTCTCTTTCTCTTCCTACCCTTTCCCACCATTATAACGTTAGTTTATTCTTTCCCTCCTATCAAGAGAGTGGGGAACACCTTTTCCACACATTTCCTTTTTCAAACATATATCCCAAAATATTCCTGGCATATTAGAGAAGCAAAAGGAGCTGGGATATTTATAAATCAAATCCTGAGATCATTGGTGTGAGGGCAGCAAAGCTGTCAGCAGATCTAGGGGGAAAAGAAGGCTCCAGGCACAGAGATGCAGAAATCTACGTAGGTACAACCACATTCCTGGGGATATGAGAGAGGCAACAATAACTCTGCTCCAAGTGAAGATGAGTAGCAGGGGATGTTTCATTATATGCATAAAATAGTACAGATTTTTATCCTCATCTATATGGACAAAATTTGCCAATTTCTCAAGAAACAGACACAAATGATTGGGTTGTTAAATCAGATTCATAAGCATTATCAGAGATTCTACCCAGTATCTAGCTTTACTAGTAATTTCAACGATACAATACAAGGATACAATAATGGTCTGTCTCATAGACGAAGGAGTGAGAAGTCCAGTCCTGTCAATACAGCTCCCCATGTCTTTCCACCTTAGGACACAGTCTGGTCTAAACTAACAGATTAACACATGAGGTCTCTAAATGACACTTGTGGCTGCATCATGTACACACAAGGAGATGCTTTGCTCATTGCACACCTTCATTTTATGTTCAGATGATTATATAGTTTATGTGACATCTTCCAAGAATCCATACTTCACAAACCCTTAGATTCTAGTTCTATCTTTTCTTTTTGTTTTGACTATAAACAATTTTAAACAATCTAATACACCTTGTTGAAAATATTTCATAAATAAAGATTTTGACGAGCAAAACCCATGAGCGTTTGCTAGTAGGTTTGCTGTTAGGATGTTTACAAGAAAAGTTTACCAGGTCAGAATCCTTCTTTTTTTCTTTCTCAGGGAGTCCTACATCCCCCTTAAAAGGAGAATAATTTTCAGTCTGTTGCTAGCAATTTTCTTTCCATTCAGAGAATGTACACATTTTCCAAGCAGCGAGATCAAAATAGGTTTCTCATTTGGGGCTATTGGAATGTGTGCTATTATTATATCCTGCAATATTTTAGCTATAAATTGCCAGGCAGGGAGAAGACCTTCCTGTTTATATCTTAAGTGGACACTGGTTTCTTTTCTCAGGCTCTTTGTTTAGGTTAGAATCATTTTTCAGTTATTGGAGTCATCACTTGTTTTGAACAAGGGCAGCAATAAATTACACAGGAGAAGAAAATGTGGTTGCCTGCAGTGGACACTAGGGGAGAGGAGATCCTGCAATAAGAGGTGCAATCTTCTAGAAGGATAATTAACTTTTCAAAAACAAGCCTATATAAGTGCAGCTGAAGATTTCAGCGGAATTTCAGTCTGGGTTTTCTCTGCAGCAGACTCTGAAAAAGGTTTTGAGCACAGAGTTTATTTGGGATGTGCATGGACTGAAGGTAGGTAAGAGAATGTTAATACAGGAAAGGGAAGCCAGAACGCAATAAAGGTCATCTTCTTAATCTAGCCAGGAGGAGGAGACTGCAGCTTAACACAGTGAGTGATTTTGGGAAATGGGGCAATGCAGCGTTCAGAATTGTTTCACCTTAGGGCTGAGGTTGCCGGACTACACTAAATCTTGAGATTTGTTGGTTGAAGTCCATGCAGGTGAGAATTCCTCAGCACTTCTGGACTGCCACCTGTAAGAACAGCAAGGTTTTCAGTGCTTCTAGGAGGAAAAAGTCTGCAGATACAGAGTTGAAGATCCTGGTTGGTCAGAGTTATATTTTGAGGGGTATGGGTGAGGAAATGATAACTTCCGATTCAAGTGAAGGTAAGTGTTAGAGACCCTGGCATTAAAACAATTCAACTGCTTTGTACAAAAAGGAATCAAATTACCAGCCAGGGTCGATTTAATTTACTCCAGCAAGAATTAAAGACAGTCGTTATATACATATATACACACACACACACATACATATATACATATACATATCTTGTGTGTGTGTGTGTGTGTGTGTGTATTATCTTGTTTGTGACTTGAGCCTATAGTACTTGGATTGAACACATCTTTGATGGGTTTTTGCTTGTGAGTCAGTGAACTAAGATGAAAAACAAACAGACAACAATGGATGTAAATCTCACCAAGCATGGTTCTGAAAACTTAGAACTGCCAAATGAAGGAGATCCATTAGTGTTGGAAGTGTAGTAATAATTCCTGCTGTATATTGTCACAGATTTGTATTTATCTCAAAGCTAAAGCTGAAAGCAAAATCCTAAACTCCTATTTAGTTAAGGCAGTTTTATACATGTGGCAAAAATGAGCAAAATTAGGCAGTTTTTGCTAGTTCAACTTTGTCCAACACTAAAAATGAAAAAGAATAAACTTCAAGTAGGCAAAAGATCATTTAAATCATCTCTCTCAACTTGGATTTGCATAAAATCTGGATGAAGGAATTTTCATGTTTACATTTTCTGGTAAGAGTTTAAATTTTAGCAATATTGGTGGTTCAAGGAAACCAAATATGTGCACACAATGCAAAATAAAAAGATGTAAAACTTTTAACTTCATGGAAACTAAGAAATCAAATCACAATTTTTGCTTTCTTTTTCTTCTTTTTTTTTGGTTGAAAAGCCAGTCTTTCACAAAAAATTCATCTAGGTAGTATTACGCTTAGAAATAAATACGATAAACAACAGAAACCTTATTTGGGAGTCTGCTTATGTATGGGGATGAGTGGTAGATTGTATTTCCAGATACTTAATTGTAGATCAAGTCTGTACTCTCAAGATTCTCATTCTGCCTATCAGTCCCACATTTGAAATTCCCTCTAATAAGGTTACTCTTCTGAGGACAAAAATGTGTAAACTGAACTATCAGTAAGTTGAACTATCAGTATATTACGGTAAAAATTGTAATAATATATTCGCAAAAATAAGGATAATAGAGCAGCAACAGTCATGTTCAAAGGACTTGAAGGGAACAGAATATTAAAGAGTCAAGTGTTGAAAGAAGCTTTTAAAGCTAATGTGAATGAGGCACTAAAGTGAGGGCTTAGCCCAGCTGAGGCAGTTGTAGAGCACAGATGTGCCTGTGCGTGCGTGTGTGTGTGTGTGTGTGTGTGTGTGTCTGTATGGATACATGGAACTGTAATGAGAAGTCACTCTGGTTCTACCTGTTTGATCCTTGCCTTCCACAGCTGGGTTAATGAGGCAGGGATCAGAAGCACAGAATGAGAGAAGGAAATACTAACCATTCTGTGCCAAAGAAAATAAATGAAATCAACAAAACATATAGACACAGAGAGATAGGCTTGATTTGAAATATATTGCCTGGGTGCTCTGGAGAAATATTGCCTAGGTTTCAAACTTAGTGACCTTGGTCAAGTACTTAGCTCTACCTTACTCTTATTGGCAAAATAAGTATATCTATGTATCTTCAATACTAAGCCATTTTCAGAGAAAAAGCTAAATTCAGAAATTTTCAGAAATAGCTAATATACCCCAAGTGCTTTAATCTGTGTTTAACACAAGGTAAATTATAAACGTTTTTCATTATTAAAAGAGGAAAATTCTGTGTGGAATTTTATTATACCAAGTAAATTTACCTTTAGTTTGCCCATCTTTTTCCCTGTTTTCCAAATTTTAAAGATAATTTTAAGGTTCAAACATTAAAAAAAAACACCCTCTCACCTTCTTTTATGGTAATCAAAGGGTTCTCATTACGTAAGCACAGTGAGAATTTCCTGTATTGTGGCTCCTGGAACATTTTAGAAGCTAGTGATTTTACTGCTTCTTGTTTACACTCTACATCTGTGTCTCACCGATAGATGATTCAAGAATACCACTTAAATATACAATTTTTCTTTTTCTTTTAAATTTCTTCATAGACAACTTTCAGATTCCTTAGCCTCCAGCTCAACTCCATGAACCATCACCGTTCTTGAACAAATCACACATCGTGTCTTACCTGCATCGATACTGGGACATCATTTTTCATGGCAGGTATGTAAGGTCCCAGTCATAAAATTTTAAAAATTAAAATAACCAGAAAAAGTATTCTATAGATATGGCTAATTTCTGGTCAATGCTTTAAGAAAAAAGGGGACGTTTTTAGGCTTCCCATGTATCAGCACTTTCTACTTCTCTGCAACCTCATTTTGTAAATTAGAAATGATTTTGCCAAGCTTTTACAGCAGGTTTAAAGGTGGCTTCTGACAGGAATACCTCTAAATTCTGAATGAGAACCAAATTTATCAGGTTAAATTATGAGTAACACAATTCTAGCAGAAGGCCAAATGTTAATGACGCAATTCTTAAAAGTATTTTTAAAAAATTTTTCTTGTGACATCTAAAAGCCACACAGATTAACAGTTTGACACACTGTACTATTGTTACTGACAATAATTTTGGGGAGTATTCTAATATTAATGCAGAATCTCCCAATGTTAAATTCTTTTAGGGGAAATGCCTATAAGCAAGTAATTTGGGGTATGAGAAAATGTAATGTTCTTGTGAAAAATCGTTGCTCAAGTATCGTAATTCAGTGTACTATGAAATGAACCAGCTCCTCAAGGTCTTACCCGTTGGTTAGGGTACCTCTCATCGTACCAGGTCCCGAGTGCTCCTATGTCTTCTCTTCTCTATAAAGCCTCTAGGAAGCTATGAGCAGCCTGACATTTCCCAGAGCAACGAATGCACTGAGATTAGCAAAGGGCACGCAGCCAAGTAGTGTTATTGTGACAATGATAGAATATGTTAAATGAAAGGCTCTGGGCCTAGACAAACTTCATTTGATTTCTGACTTGGATACTTATTAGCTTTGATACCTGGAAAAAATAACTTTATTAATGAATCCTAAGTTTTCTCATATGCTTAGTGGGAATCATATTATCTATCTTATGATTTTTGCTGAGAAAATAAAAGTAAATGTCTGTTATGTAAGCCCATAAAACAGTACTTGGTGCCTGTTGATTTCTTCTTACTCCAGATGTCTAAGTTTCTTTGCCAGATTAAAAAATAAATGGTAAATCCACTTTACTGAGACAGAGCTGGTAAAGAAATAAAGGTATGGATAATCTCATTATTATTATTATGAACAATAAAATACATCACATGAAAATTTTGGTATTGGGTTAAGTTCAGAATGGAATGTCTTCATTTTCCAATGTTTTATTGGCAAGAGGATTGGGTTATCAAACCAATGAACTTTTTGGGTTCTCTCACCAGTTTCTGCTTTTAAGGACTTTAGCTCCTGTGTTTGTTCTTTAAATCAATACTCTTGCTCTCTTTCTCCACAGCTTTTCAGACCACTCCATGGAGATTGATTTCTTGGATCTTAGGAATAATGTGCATTTCGTTGCTGGCTACTTTGGGAATTTTGTTGAAAAATTGTGAGTTTTTCTAGACAAGTCTATATAAAGATCAAAACTGTGATGAAACCACTTAATAATAAAGGTTTCATTTTACTAGTGCATAATATTTTATTTCATAAACCTGTATCTAATTAAGTAAATTGCTAATCATTTCTTATAGTATTTACTAAACCAAGTATTGAGCCAACAATCTCTCCCAGACTCAACACAGAACGCCAGCAAGGTAAGTTCCATACTTTTGAAAACCTTAGTCTTGGTAGAAGATGAAATAGTTTCTTGTTTTTCTCACACAGAAATATGATGGAGTATTATACTTAGTAACACAAGTTTACCTACCAATTGTAAGATAGTCTCATTTGATTTTTCTCTAATATAAAAATTATTAAATTACATTAAATGCATGATTTATATATTTGAGTAATAAAGTATTAGACTGAAATGACATTTTTTCCTATATGAGTGCTCATGTTTAAGTAATAAATCAAAAATAAATTACAGTAAATATTACAGATGATCCTAATTACCTGCCTGGGTTTGCTCATAACTCTTACTTTTCTCTCTTTGTCTTTGCTTCTGCTCCTTCCATGACTCAGAATATAGTGCACAGATTTCAGTAAATCTAAACCCTGTTTATCCAGTGAAAGCCAGCTCAAAGTCCAATTTTTTTAATGTATGTTTTTACAAATGCTGTCCAAGTTGTTTCACCATCTTCTGTGATCATATAGCACTTCATTTATATCTTTTCCCCTTAGCATTTTTTCTAGCTTTATTGAAATATAACTGACACAGAACGTTGTGTAAGTTTAAGGTGTACAACATGTTGATTTGATACACATATATTATATGTTTATATATGTTTATCACCATAATATGATATCATTATCACCATAGCATTAGCTAACACATCACATCACATAATTGCAATTTCTTTTTGCGGTAAAAGCAATTAAGATCTACTCTTTTAGAAACTTATAAGTATACAGTACAGTATTGTTAACTATAAACACAACGCTGTACATTAGATCCTCAGAACTTATTCATCTTCTAACTGGAAGTTTGTATCCTCTGACTAACATTTCCCCATTTCCTCTGCCTCCAGCCACTGGTAACCACCATTCACTCTACAACTTCAGCACCATTCATTTTGTAAAGATCTGAATGCTTAAAAATTGTCATGAATTTTATCACTGAGGATAATAAATGTTCAAGACACTATCACTGGTAAACTGTATGATTGGACTCTAAGATAATTGTTTTATCTTCACTTCAAAAATAAAATATCCAAAACATATCTCGTAATTCTCCCAATGTATCATTCATTTCTGACTCAGAAAATATTCTAAAATGTTTTCTTCCTTTAAGTATCTCCTTCATTTTGTTTACTCCTGTTTACACAGCAGAGCTCAACTTTGGGTCATTTCCTCAAAAAAGTTTCTCCTAACCACCCCCTAGCTATACTGTGCTACATGATGTTTTAACATACTGAATATCTTGTGTACAATTACCCAAACTATTACTAAATAGAATCAATAAATGATTAGAAATTATTTGATTCTGACTCTATCTCTAGAATATAATTTCCATGAAGAAAAATGGTCATATCTGACTCATTCACGTTAATATCCCCTGAACCGTGGTCTATGTAGTAGAATCTCAAAGAATATTTGTAGAAAAAATGAACGAATAATAAATGATTTTTGAACGAGTAAATAGCACTGAGAAACTGGAATCTCCAGTGTTGTCAATCACTTTTTATTTTATCTCTTAGGCTCTGACTGCTGTTCTTGCCAAGAAAGGTGGATTGGGTATCAATGCAACTGTTACTTCATTTCTAATGAATTAAAAACTTGGGCAGACAGTAAGGATTTCTGTATTTCTAAAAATTCCAGTCTACTTCAGATACAAAATGAAGATGAGCTGGCATGTATTTAATTCTAGTTTCCTACATTTTCTTTGCCATAGGAAAATATATTGTTTATATTATATTGTTTTATGTTATGTTATATTATATTATATTGTTATGTTAGTGGAATACTTTGATTCAAGTCTTTAATCAGATAGTAAATGGATAGTTATATTTGAGCTGATAACTTACTAATTTCCTATACTTGAAACAATCATTATAAAACCTACATAAAATTTCTCAAAGATTTACATTACTATTGGAATAAAAATCAAGATAGATGCCAGATAAAGTACAAGAAACTTTTCAGAAGAATTCAAAGGAGAAATAATAGGTCATTATTTTTATTCAAAGAACCAACCAAATACCTTTGTAATTTTTAGTTCTTTAATTGAATTTATAATTTCTTTGGCAATTATATAAACTTCTTTATCATTCTTGAATATAATGTGGAATGAATGAATATGAAGAGTGTGATCATAAAAATTACCCAAATCTTAAGAAGTGAAAAATTTCTCCTACTGCATGCAGAACCTGTGCTGAAGATAGTCTGAGTAGGCTCTATCTGTGAGATTTATCCCTCAAGATACCGTTTTGGTTCAAATCTGATTCCTGATCCCCTATGAAAACGGTTTCATGAAAACTCTAGCTCCCTTTATAATATTTTTTCATTCCCTCAAGAAGTGAGAGTTTGTAATATTTTTTTCTCCATCGATGAATGGGCCTGATAAATGAGAAATGTGAGGATGGTGACTATACCTACTAAATTAGAAGTTAAAAATGATTTCCATTTGTATAATTAAAAAGCTTAGTCTCTTGCCACAACTAGAAGGACTCACAACTAAAAATATATATATATATAACCATGTACTGGAGGGATTTGGGGAGAAAAAGTAGAAAAAAAAAAGCTTAATCTGGGCCAGTCCATTGGAACAGTGGTTAAGTTCACGTGTTCTGCTCCAGCGGCCTGGGGTTTGCTGGTTTGGATCCCAGATGTGAACTTATGCACTGCTTGTCAAGCCATGCTGTGGCAGGCGTCCCACATATAAAGTAGAGGAAGATGGGGATGGATGTTAGCTCAGGGCCAGTCTTCCTCAGCAAAAAGAGGAGGATTGGCAGCAGATGTTAGCTCAGGGCTAATCTTTCAAAAAAAAGGCTTAATCTAATACTGGACACTGACTTTCTTCAAAGTACGTCATTCCCAGAGTAGAATCAAATTAGGTTAATATATTTGTTTCTGTTTCTAAGCAGCGCTTTATGAAGTACAGTAAAAATTTTTACTGGATTGGACTCTCGTACAGTGAAGAACATCACACCTGGTTATGGGAGAATGGCTCTGCTGTCTCCCCAAATCTGTAAGTGTCTGGTAGTCAAGGCCTTTTCCGTTCTTTATGAATTTATCCTTAGATCTGACCACAGAATGTAACATTGAGGAAGACACATAAAGTGTCTAGTGCTGTGAGAATACTGAAAAGAGAATAGATACAACAGAATACCAATTTTAGCCATGTCTAGAACATCCAAGCTTATGCTCAAGTGACATGAAGTTATTGTACTTGTGACTATAGAAGAGCTTTTGACATGGTTTTTTCTCTGCCTTGGTACAAGCACTTGGATGTGTATGTGGATATACAACTGCTCACATACACAGAAGCTGTCCAGCCAAAACAGTATATCCATTGTTTTCTTTATTCTGGTGGAGCCAAATATTCTCAGTATCCTCCCTTGTTTCGGATACTCTGGGCTTATTTTCTGTATATTTGTAACTTTTGAATCTCATTTTCGTTGATAAATGACATTTGCAGCATCATACAATGACAAATGTTGTGCTCTGATTTGTTTCCTAGACTAGATTAGACAATAGATCTTTAAACAAAACCAAAGTAAACTACATAATATATCAGAACCATTAATAATAAAGGCAAAAACAAACAAACAAAATCCCTGGGCTCAATGATATTGATTGTTGAAGGAATAACTGAGTTTTTGTCACAGTGTACTCTGAAATTGTGAAAACTATGGCTATTGAATAAAAACAAGATAATGACTCAATATGGTAATATCTCATTCAAATACTTTTTAAAAGTTCGATCATTTGACAAAAATATTATCCCTGAGCACTCTCATTTCTTTTTCCCCTACATTAACGTTTTCTTCTTCATTACAGATTTCCATTCCCTCAAACTGCAAATCCAAAGAACTGCATAGCATATAGCCCAAGCAACAGTATTTTGGATGAAGACTGCCAAGGGGAAAATCGTTACATCTGTAAGCAACAGCTTACTTAGGTATTTCTTGGAACAAAAGGGGTGGTCAATGAAAATCTAGAATTCCTTAGAATGGTACTGTTCCCTCTTACATGAGTAGTAATCACCTATTGCTGGCATCTGTAAAATGTTTCAAACTATGTTGTATCATCCATTTTTTCTTTATTTGAAACTGTGTGTTTTAAAATTGATGAGATTTGTGCACCTACACTTGAAATTATAAAGTGCTAAGATAAAGAATTTCATGAATATTTTGATTTAATGCATATGTTTAGTGTGAAATTGAATAAAGATTTATGCATATATTCTTGTAAATTCTTTCTGCATAAATTTAAGGAAAAATTAATTTACACAAAATAATGTGTATCAACATCATTTTAGCCTTTTGAAGGGCATACTGAATTGGGAAGTACCAACTCATCTCGCTTTTCTGGAAGTAAAAATAATTTTAATGCTCTTTGTTAGTTCTTTCTGGATATCTATGTATCTATATATTTGATTTAGAGCTTAAAGTGCCATATGACAGTTTCCTTACCTGGCTTCAGAAAGGAATGCATTTGTGTGTCTTCTCTCAATGCTACTGAGTTCTGTAGAACAATTGGAAGTCTTTGGCCAACTATATGGTTCCTGTGCGATTGCTTTCAGATTTTGTAAGGGTAAAAAATCCAAGCCCAGATCACATAAATTTACAATTCTTATTTCTTCACTCCACAGATCTTTCTTGCTTTATGCTTATCCATCCGTTTAAAAAGTTGATTTCAGGTTCATTGAAGATCTTAATCTGTAATCAGTCCAAAAATCTTTTTCCTAAAAGTTATTTCTCAAATACTAAACAATTCCTTTTGGCGGGGGATGGTGGTGAAGGGAGCAACCCATTTTACTGAGAGGTTTTTGAGTGTGTCAAAGAAGGAGTGGGAAGACAATGAGGTCTGATGCCTGTAACCTGGATGGGATTTTCTCAACCTCACAGATATCACAAGCCACTTCCCTTTTTTGGCTGTTACATATTCATCATCAGAAATTTGTATGACATCTCTGTTTGCTTTCTAGCTTTATATTTCAATTAAATTATTTTAATTAGGAATCCAAAGTTGATTTTTAATATACAAAGAGCCAAGAAGAGGAAAGAACTTCTTATTTTTTTATTTCTCAAAATATAAACATAATAGACCTAAAAATTTATCTTTTCACACTCTTGTATGAAATTTGACTTAGGAAAAATGCACTGAAGTTATATTACGAAAAATACAGGATACAATATAACATCTTTCAAATGTTTAATTTTAAATGTTTAAGACAACATGAATCATACTTTCTGGATGTTTGAAATGTTTTGGCTTTCTTGTCCATGAGATTTCAAAATAACGTATTTTTAATTTAATTAAAAAATAGTATAGACAAGCTTCTATGAAATCAATAGTTTTTTATTCCAGCTACCCCATCTCCCTGTCCTCCTGCCATAAAGCAATTTCCTCTGGATTCTTTGTTTTATTTGCTTGTTTTTTTTCTACTTAGATTGGTTTTCTCTGTAATGGACCAAGGATTGTCTATTTTCATAATTTTTTTCCAGGATGAATCTCAATTGTTTTCATTTAGGCTCACTCAAGGATAGGTTCAAATTGTTACTTTTCACTTCATTATCCTATCATGTGTCCAGAGCCTGATCTGCCTTTTTCCTGAGAACTCATGAACATCCATTACAGTTGCAAAAGCAATGAAGAAACAGAAAGAATTAAATGTGATGGATGATAATCAATTTCATAGAGTAATCTATGTCAAAAATTGTCATTACTGAGAGAAGAACATTCCTGTTGCCTCCCAATTATAGCTCAGATGTTTTTGCAGCTCCCATATCAATTCAGGGCATTATGATAGAAGGTTCTGGCATGAATGGACGATACTGGTCACCAAGGCAGAGTGTCTCTCTCACAGCATGGTCCCATCATATTAGCTACACTTAGTCCAGCATGATTTTATGATTCTTCCTCCCACTCTTAAGCAGTCACACCATGGCTGCTTGCTTCTTCAAGGCCAGAAGGAGAGATTAACAGCCAGAAGGAGAGATTAACAGAAGGGTACACTCCCAAGTAGTGTTATTGTGACAATGGTAGAATATGTTAAATGACTCCTCTCTTTCTGACCTCTAGAGTCTCTTTTAAGTGTTCACCTCATTAGGTTGGGACTACTCATAATAATATGTCTTTTGATTAACTGGAAATTGACTAATTTAGAAGCTTAGTTATATCTGAAAAATAGTCTTATCTTTGTCATTTACTGTAATCTAATCTCAGAGTAATATCCAATAATATTCACAAAGCCCCCTGATGTTTAAGGGGAGAGGGTTATACAGCTGTACACCAGGGCATGGGTATTTGGGGGTGTCATCTTAGAGTTCTGCCTATCATAACAACATCCTCTTAAAAATATGTTGTACCTGGTACTTTGCAGTTTACTAAATTGAAAGATTGCCTTTTGATTTCTGATAACTAAGAATTTAATTCACATATGCCAAGAGGGGTAACATTTTTCTATTTATCCCAATATATTAATTCTTAGTTCCTCCATTGATGATATCTAAGTTTGCATTCTAAGTGTTGGAATAACATATGACACAGTGATAGATAAATAATATAGATTTTGGTACTCAGAAAGGAGGAACTTCTGTAAAGAAAAAAAAAAAAAAAAAAACTCTAAAATTGGCAGTGCTTTAAACTTGCCAGTGGATGAAAGCTGGATGGATTGGAAAGACTGACGGCTTCTAGTATGGACTTTCAGGGAAGTGAGAAACATATTATTAGAATCTGGAGTAAAGGAAATTCTTGCTATTTAGCTGCAGAATGTTTAGCAGCACTATTGTCTGTAGTGATGTGGAAAGTAGAAAAGGTACCTAATGAATTGGTGAACTAGCTAAAGTTATTTCCAGCCAGTGTTGAAGATACTGCTTGGTTTCTTTCTACTGCTTACATTACAATGCAATGGGAGACAGATAAACTAATGGAAGAATTTTTAAATAAAAAGAGCCAGAGCTCACTGGTTTTGAAGATTCCTAGCTTCTTCAAATGTCAAAAGTGGTAAAAATAAGAAATGGAATCTGAGCAAAGATCAAATCCAGTGTGCTCTCAGGAAAGCATGATCTAAAACACCCTGTGGATGAGACTGTAAAATTCTCTTTTAAGATCGCTGGAAGAGCAAAGGTGGAGCCTCAATTCCGTCAGACACAGAACCTATAAAGGGTGTACTTCACAGATCATCTTGGTTAAACAATAACACTACTAAGAAGTTTAAGGACATTTTCCCTCAGCCATCTCAGCAGAAGCTTCCTGTGGAGAAGCTCAAAGAGATTTCTGTGTGTGGCTTTTATGAATGTAGTAAACCCCAATAAGGTTCATAGGAGACTAAAACATTTTTAAGGTAATTATGTCAGCAGAACAATGGCCAGTTTGAACTGAAAAGGACAGAGACAGTAAAAATACATATGTACATGCATACATATACAAATGAGAATTTTGGTCCCCCAAAATATTTGCAAGCAGCAAGCACACTAAGAAAAATATGAAGTCACAAACAAATAATACCTTTCATTAAAGAGGAAAGATGAATCAGAGGGTAGAATCCAGACCCTAGAGGGTGGACCCAAGAATTATGGAGAGTCATTTGGGGACAGACATAGGATTGAGTTCTAATCAAGTAAATCCTAACAGTTTCTCAACTGGATTTCAGGATTACCATAAACCAGTGATTCTGTAGTGCCTCTCCCCATCTCCCCCCGCCAACTCCATTTTGAACAAGAAAGTCTATAAAGTTTATCTTCCTTTGGATGAAGGATGTATAGGGGAAGAAAATATAATATTGGTAGTTTTACAGGTCTTCAAAGTAAGAGAAAGCTGTACTCAAGAAGCAAAATTTAAGGAACTACACCTGACGAGTCTATCCACATCCATACCTGGACCTCAGGAACTTCTAGACTTTGAGCTGATGGTGTAGTGGAATGAGATTTTGGAGGTGTATATTTTGCATGTGAAAGGGAAATAAATCATTTCGGACCAAATTTTAGACTCTCATAATCAGTTACCTAGATGTTCCTAATGATCCTTGCCTCATGGAATTTGACCCTTTTGAAAAATCAACCACACTGTGTCAGGGTTGGTCACTGTGAGCAACGGAATATGGCAGAAGTCATGTGTGTCACTTTTGAGGCTAGGTCATAAAAGACAGTGTGGATTCTGCCTCACTCTTTCTCATGTCATTTGAGTTGATCAGCTATTGTGTCATGAGCAACACTTTGGAGAGGTCCATGTAGTGAGGAACCAAGGACTCCTATAAACAGCCAGTAAGGAATTGAAGCCTCTTGCTGATAGTCATGTTAGCGAGCCTTCTTAGAAGCAGATTTTCCAGTGCCATGCCAAGCCTTCAGATAACTACAACTCAACCTATATTTTGGTAGAGGCTCATGAAAGATCCTGAGCCAGAATGACCTAGCTCAGCTGCTCCTGAATTCCTGACTTTTAATTGTGTGATATAATAAATGCTTTTTGTTTTAAACTGAGAAGTTTGGAGCTAACTTGTGGTGTAGAGTAGTTAGCTAATACAACATGTTTTTATCATAACAACCTTATGAACAGAGGATATTTCAGAGCCCAATAGTAAATTAAGATCATCTCTTTCTTTGAGGTTCTGTTGTTATAACCTCTACGAGATTAAAAGAAAATTATTCTGTTAAATTAAAGCTTTTCAATGTTCTTAGTAACATTATAAAATCCGTGAGTATCATTTTGTTATCTTTAAAAATATCCTTCCAACAGCCCCTAGCTACCTGCTGTTATTAGACTGGCTCCTCAATATACGTGCTCCACAAACTATTTTCATGGAATTTTTCTTCATTCATCTACTAGTCAATAACAAATATTTCATTAATTATAGGTTACCTCTTTTATATATATATCTCTATATACACATATATGTTCATTTTAATTTTTTTATTGAGGTCATGTTGGTTTACAACATTGTGTAAATTTCAGGTGTACATAATGATATTTCAGCTTGTGTATAGACTGCATTGTGTTCATTACCAAAAGTCTAATTTTTATTCACCACCATACAGATGTGCCCATTTATCCCTTTCACCCTCCCCTCATCCGCTTCCCCTCTGGTAGCCACCAATCCTTTCTCCTTCTCTATATGTTTATTTTTTGTTTATCTTCCAGATATGAGCGAAATCGTATGGTATTTGTCTTTGTCTGATTTATTTCACTTTGCATAATACACTCAAGGTCCATCCATGTTGTCACAAATGACACAATTTT